GCCCCCTCGCGGCCCCGGCCCGGCCCCGCACGCCTCTCTCGCTCCAGAAAAGTCTGCTTTAGGGCCAGAGGATCCTCTTGCCCTCCTACACTGCCTTGCTGGGGGCTCGCGGTTCCCAGTTCCTGCAGCCTCTTCCCAGCCCTGTGGCTCCCGGGGCAGCGTGGGCAAGTGGGAGCATGGCCAAGGATGGGCACGGGAGCCACCTGCACAGGTGGCATTGTCTGCCCTGGTGACAATGGCCACCCTGGGCACTGCAACCTGCCGCCCAACAACTCTCATCCCTCCAAGGGGCTCAGTGATACCCACAAGCAGCAGGTCTGGACTGCAGGTGCAGCCKGGGTCCCTCCTCCTTGCGCTGAACCTGGGCAAATCCCCTAATCCCTAACCCCTAATTAGGCAATTATGTTCCCCTGGGAGCCTAATCCTAGCAAAACAGCCTTACATGTCCCTGCAGATCCTGGCCCTGCGATCCCCTCTTCTAGCCCCGAGCAGGACCAGCACAAGCAGCTCTAGCCCCGGGGCTGGGTTTTACGAGCAGCCCCGAGGACGCGGCACAGCCATGCCAGCCATACCCTCATCATGGCACTGATCCCATGGCACTGATCCCTGCAGCAAGAGGAGCCAGGAAAATCACTGGGGTGACTCTGAGTGATTTCCTTCCCACTGCCCTGCTCCTTCAGCAGAGTGGGGTGCCGGGGGGCAGAGAGCGGCCTCGTGGCTGCATCCTCCTCCTCCTCGTGCAGCCGCTGCCGTCCCCCCCAGGAAGAGCCCAGTTCTCCCGCTGCGGCCCCCGCGCTGCCCTACATTCCAGGGGGAAACACCCTGCCGGGGAGGCRCTGCCTCCAGAGAGGCACCGGGAACAGCACCCATCGGAAGAAACCCGTGCACGGAGCTGCTCCTGCCACCCTGTCCGCGCCCACCGGCGCTCGCAGCGAGTGAGCGGGGGGGCCTCTCCGTCGCCTCCGTCGCCTCCGTGCTCGGGACGAGGTTTTGCACCTCCCGCTCAATCCCGCCGTGGCGGCCGGGCTGGGGGGCAGGTCCCCGGTGGGGTGAAGCCCCAAGCCTGGCCGGCTCCTCCGCAGGCCCCGGCATGTCCGCGCTCCTCCGAGCCATCACGGACATGATGAGCAGCCGCCGGGGCAGCGCCGGGAAGGGCAAGAAGCCGGAGCCGTTCAGCAGGAGCGAGTTCAAGAAGCTGCTCCAGCAGGAGCTGGCGCCTGCCAAGGTAGCGGGGGTGCGGGGAGAGGGATCCCGGGGATCCCGCGCTCTCCGAGGCCGGGCGGCTCCCGCGGGCGCCGCGCTCTGACGGCGCCGGCGCTCCTCTCCTCCCAGCGCTCGCCCGCCAGCAAGTACCGGAGCGGCTCCGCTTYGGATGCGGACGCGGAGCCCATGAACCAGCCCGAGCGGAGCTGTGCGCACTGAGCTCCGGCAGCTCCGGCGCCTCCGAGGTGCCGAGAGCCGCGGAAGGAGGCGACGCCGGCGGCAGCGACGCAGAGGGCGAGGAAGACGCCGGCGCCGTGGGGAGCTGAAGGCTGCGGCCAGGGGGTTGCCGGCTGCTTCTGCGAGCCTGCGGCAAAATTCCCATGGAATTGGTTGGGGGGAGAGGAATTGATCCCAATGCTTACAAGAGTGTTTCTCTCTATTAAAGGAAGCTGGGGCACACACTGGCTTACTTCTCCTTTGCTCTCATTTTGGGAAAGCTTTTCCTGGGGTCCCAGTGCAATCGCTTGCATGAAGGGATCCTACTCGCCACTGCAATCCCGGAAACGGAGGCTGTTGTGACAGGCGGAGAGGGTGGAAACCATTTGTTCCACCGGAAAAAAATATTGCATGCAGCATGATATTGCAGGTGGTGTTTGCATCCTGCTCTGCACGGGCACGCGGGTCAGGGACTGCTGTGGCCGTGCACTCTGCACGCGGGATGTGGGATACAGGAGAGTATCTGTAAACTGCTTGGAGGGATGAACTTCAGGATTATGTATTGGCGAGGTTTTGAAGGCTATTTTTTTCTTCTTGTTATGGCCATTTCTGTGATGCACTTAAAGAAAAGCAATAAACCTCTGCACATGAAGCAGGCCTGGCTGTCGTGAGCAGTGCAGGGGCACCTGGCATCCAAGGAAGGCTGGAGATCAGAGCCCTGGGGATGGAGCAGCTGAAACCCCCATGGTGGCGGTGGAGGGGTGAGGGGAAGACAATGGGATGGAGAGGCCGGGGCAGAAGGGCAGCGCGGGGGGACTGTTCCCAGCAGGGTGATGGGGACCCGGCCCGGGTGCCGGGAAACGGCCTCGGCACAAGGGCTGAAGGAAGCAGCGACACAAGGGAGGGTTCAGGTCATGACAGTTTTATTGGTCCCTGGGCACCTCTCGGGGGCCGGGACGCGGCTCGCGGGGAGCCCGCGGGGCTGGTGGCGCCCGGGCTGCGCTCACTTCATCTTCTGCTGCGGCACCTGCTGGATGTGCTGCTGCTGCTGCTGCTGCTGCTGCTGGTGCTGGTACTGCACCTGCGGCTTGCCGTGGCACCCGGAGCCGCCGCTGCTGTGGCACCCGCCGCTGCTGCCACCGCTGCTGTGGCACCCACCACCACCGCTGCTGCTGTGGCACCCGCCGCCGCTGCCACCGCCGCTGCTGTGGCACCCGCCGCCGCCGCCACCGCTGCTGTGGCACCCGCCACTGCTGCTGCCGCCGCCGCAGCAGCCGCCGCCGGTCTGGCGCACGTAGCGCTCCTGCCCGTGGCACTGGTCCTTTTCCTGGCGGGAGCACATTGCTGTCCTCAGGCCGGCCTGCGGAGAGAGGAGACGTCAGTGCCTCTGGGAGCCCCGGCCCCGTGTCCCAGCGTGTCCCCCGTGCCGGCCCAGTACACCCCGAGTGCATTCCCAGCATGTCCCCATGCAGCGTATCCCCAGGATATCTCCACCCAACCCCCAGCACACCCCTATCTATCCCCGGTGCATTCCCAGCATGTCCCCAGCCTGTCCCTGGCTGCGTGTGCCGCCCGGCACGGTCCCAGGAGCTCTGCAGCAGCCGCCGTGCCCTCTGTAGCAGCGAGGCCTCGAGCCGGGACCTCGGAGCCGGCCGGGTCGGCAGCRTCCCGGAGCATTGGGAAGTGCAGGATCCCAGCGCTGCGGGTCCCGGCTGCAGGTGCCGCGGCCCTGCGGTGTCGGCACAGCCGCGGAGCGAGGCCGCTGCTCCGTGGAGCAGGTATCCCGTGGGAGCCGCGTGCAGCTCACCTGCGCTTGGAGGAGAAGCCCAGGAGAGAAGCAGGTGGGGATGGCCAGGACGGGCCCCGCTTTATACGGATCCTTGGTCCCCTATCCGGAAATGAGACATTCTCCGTCACCATGATTTGTTCCCGTCCTGCCCAATCCCCACACGACCGCCCGCTGTTTACTGGGCTCGCCTGACTCACCCGTGATGGATATCGGTCCCGTTTTATCTGCTTCCTGTGCTGCATAAGTGTCTAATTGGCAGCCTCACCTTCTCGATGGGGAAAGCCGTGGGTGCCCACGCTTCCAGGGCTCGTCTGCCCCTGCCTGTTTTGCTAAATTAAATCCCGGCCTAATTATGGGCCCATCTTGTGAGGCTTCACTCTTGGAGTCTGAGCCCGGCTGCTGGGCCGGAGGTGGAGAAACCAGGGAATGATCCCAGCAAAGAGGAGCAGAAGGTGCCCCCTTCTTCCCCCTTGCAGTGGAGCGAGGGTATGACATCCCTGGGCTTCCCTAGGGAAGCATCTTGGATCCTTGGGCTTCCTCCTCCTCTCCATGACCTTGAGACTCTTGGTGCCCCAAAAGGCACTGGAGCTGCTGGGTCTCCATACTAGGACATCAGTCCTAGAGGACGCAGGTCAAGGGATAAAAGCAGGGACAGGCCTGAGAGCAAGAAGATWGGGCTGGAGATGCTCAAGTAGCTGCTGAGATGCCCTTGGCATAAAAAAGAAGCTGAAGAGACTCCCCATGAYAGGGGAGTCACTGTCCCCAAGTACTCGGGCTCATCCCCTCCTATGTGCCACCCACCGGCACCACCACCCAGAGCAGCCGGACTGGGGTTCCTCCTCGCCCTGGTCACCGGAGCTGACGTGTTAATAGTGGAATCTTCTCCTGTCCGCACCTTGTGCGCCCAYTGAAGGGAAAGGGAAGCAGGGACACACGGGAGGGCTCAGGACATTGGGACTTCTTTGGATCCCGGGCAGCTTCTGGTGCCCACAGCACCCAGCTGCACCTCCAGACCCCGGTGGCACCATCAGCCCTGCAGGAGGCTGTGGGAAGCACGGGAAGCGGGAGAGCCCGAGCGTGCCCGGGCGCATTGCACAAGCAGCAGGAGAAGGCAGATTTGGGTGAAACTATTATTCACGCACAGCCCTAATTAGAAGCGGGGCGGCAGCAAACATGTTTATCGCCTCGCTGGGAGACGGAGCCGCCTCCCGCGCGGGGCCTGCCGGGACGACGCGCCGGCGCCGCGGGCCCGAGCGGGTGTCCGCACGGTGGCGGCCGCTCYGGATTGTGCCCCGGGCGTTCGGCTTGGCCCGTGGCCCTGCAGGGTGACTGGCGCCCGCAGCGTTTCACCCCGCTAGAGCCAGCGGGGCTGGCCGGTCACTCGCCTCTTGCTCGAGAACCTGCCTGGGTTTCCCTGCTGCAGTTCCAGCACCCAGAAATACTCTTATTTTCCCCTCCCTGGGGAGGTGTGTGGCTGGTTTATGTCCCAGAATCACAGAAACACAGAAGGCAGCTCTGCTGCTTTGCTCGCTCACTGATGGGAACTGAAATAAAACTCACTGGGTATAGACAGCATTGCTGTCGTCCACTTTGTCCTGCATCAGTTCCATGTTTGCTCTCAACAAGTCAATAGCCATACATAATACAGGCAGTTAAGAAGTCTTCTTCTTCCTCCAGTGCTTGAAAAAGACCTTGCTGCTTAATGGTCTAGACTCTTCTTTCCAATAATGGCCCCCAAGGCTGAAACTTCAGCACAGGGAATAACTCATCCTCAGTTTCCCTTTCCCAGCAGAGGAACAATCACAGCCTCACAGGATGGTTGGGGTTGGAAGGGACCTCTAGAGATCACTCAGTCCAACCCTCTGCTCCAACAGGGATACTCYGAGTATGGGGCACCTGGTCGAATCCAGACTGTTTTGGAAGACCTCCAGAGAAGGAGACTCCACAACCTCTCTGGGCAGCCTGTTCCAGGGCTCTGTCACCCTCATGGTGAAGAAGCTCTTCTTCACATGGAGGTGGAACATCTGTGTTTCAGTTTGCACCCATTGCCCCCTGTCCGATCACTGGCCACCACTGAGAAGAGCTTGGCCCCTTCCTCCCCACAATGAGCGCTGCATGCAGKGGCTGTGATGGAGCAGTTGGATCCTCCCAAGTAAAGATTCTTTCTCGGGTACCTGCTGCAGGAGTAAGGTGGCCCCTATAGTGGCTGGGGACAGGGCAGCTTCAGACCAAGGGACAGGAGCAAAAGGGAGGGATGAAGTGGAAAACACCAATACGAGAGGACTGTGATGGGATTTTATTTTTATTGCTGAATTTGCTACAGTGCAGAGCATGTCCATGTTACATCACCCGAGAGGAAGAGCTCAGCGCTTCAGGTTGCACGTGGACAGGAGGGAGGAGGAGACATTTCTCTCGCTCTCCCATCTCCTCATGACTCTTATTTGATCTTCCGGGCTGGTGCTTTGCAGACCTGGGTTTTGCAGACTGGTGCTTTGCAGGCGACCGGTGCCTTGCAGGCGACTGGTGCTTTGCAGACAACCGGTGCTTTGCAGGCAACTGGCGCCTTGCAGGTGACTGGTGCTTTGCAGGCAACTGGTGCTTTGCAGGCAACTGGTGCCTTGCAGGCGACTGGTGCTTTGCAGGCGACCGGCGCTTTGCAGACCTGCTGCTGCTGGCTGGGGCCGTGCTGCACCACGGGCACGCAGCCCTGCTGCACAGCCGGGCCCTGCGCCTGCCCCGGGCAGCACTGCTGGGCAGGCTGCACGGCCGGGACGCAGCGCGGCTTCCCGCCCTGGTACCCCGAGACGCCGCAGGACGGGGGCTCGGCGCACACRGCCCGGCCCTCGGAATGGCAGCCTCCTCCGGACGAGCCTCCGCACCGCTCGGAGCAGACGGACCTCCCGTAACTGTTGCATCCTCCGGCTGATCCGTAGCTGTACGTGGGCCTGCGGACGCAGCCCGAGCCACCACCTCCTTGGCACGAACCCGAAGATCCTCCGCACCGCTCGGAGCAGACCGACCTCCCGTAGCTGTTGCATCCTCCGGCTGATCCGTAGCTGTACGTGGGCCTGCGGACGCAGCCCGAGCCGCAGCCCCCGTGGCACGCGCTGGCCGCCGAGGAGCCCCGGCACCGCTCGGAGCACACGGGCTGCCGGTAGCCGTAGTGCCGGTAGTCGTGCCCGCACATGCCCTGGACGCCTTCGCCGTCGCAGCCCGAGCAGGAGCCGTAGCCGTAGCGGAAGGGCGTGCGCCGCGTGTCCAGCCACGACCCCGACGGGTCGTACCAAGTGGAGTTGAGGTTGAAGTAGGACTCTCTTCCAGAAGAGTAAATCATGGCTGAGCTGCAGGGACAAACCTGAAAAACACGGGGCCGGRTTGGGCATCTCTGGCATCTCCATCCTCTCTGTTTCTGTTCAGCTTCCCCCAAAGCTGCCCTGCTCCTCTTCAGAGCCTGAGTCTGAAGGGAGCTCTTGAGGTTGCCCAAAGCGGTCCAACCACGCCCGAATCCTCCTCCTGACCTTATCCATGGCTGATTTGTTCCTGGAGAACAGAAAATAGCCGGCACCCTGTGGCACATAGTGCCTGCACTGCAGGTCCTCCCTCCCAGCCCCTGGTGGTTCCTCTCCCAGCTTTGCCCATGGTCATCCATCCCTTGTGCTCCAAGCACGGTCCAAGGGCCGGTCACACCCCCCTAACCACAACATCCCGCATCCAGATGTCCGGAGCATCCTGCGCTTCTCCAGTGTGTCTCTTACCAGCCGGCGAGGGGAGGCAGACGAGGGGAGCAGACTGAGCGGACCGGGGGACGGAGACCTTTTATATGGTCTCAGGCCTTCCCGTTGCAAATGAAGCATACTGCAAGAACGAGGATTAGATTATTTATTGAGAAAACATGCCCTTCATCTGGCTGCTGCTGCCAGCGCTTGGCATGCTCTGCCTGACTCACTGCCCTGATAAGTATCTCCTAATTACGGTGAAGTTGGGAGCAGGGCACAGAAGGGACTCGCATCGTTAAGCCACACATCAGCTACACGAGGCAGGTAATAACCAACTTATTCACTGCCTTCGGAGGACTGAGCCACCGAGCGGAGGCTGACGAGCGCCCCATGAGTCAGGCAGAGCCATGTGCCTGGTGCTTAATATCCCATCTTAGGTAGGACGTCACGTTGTCCTAGAGCTCCAACATCACATCCACGGGGATGTCCCAGCACCTTATAACACTAATGTCCTGTATTAGGTGGGTTGTCTCATCATCCTACAGCCCTAAGGTCTCATTTGAGATGTCATTTTATACATCACATTTTCCTAGAGTGCTAACGTCCCATCTTAGGTGAGACATCCTGTCATCCTAGAGCTCTAACGTCCCCTTTTAGGTGRGATGTACCAYTGTCCTAGGGCTCTAAAACCCCATYTTATGTGGGACATCCTGTCATCCTATGTCCTAMTGTCCCGTTTTAGATGGGATGCCCCATCATCCTAGTGCTCTGACACCCCATCTTAGGTGTTCCCTTCTCCTGGCCTTCAAAAGCCTTTCCAGGTACCGAAAGCACAAAGAGGGAACTGCAAAGGGGCCATGCAGTCACGAGGATCAACGTGTGCCATGACACTCTTTGCAGGGAAGAAAGAGTGAAGCAGTTTGGGAAGCRGCAGTGGATACTCATGCAATTCTGCCTTGCCAGAAAGGAGTCTATGAACCTACCCAGGGGGTTAGGGGAAGGAGACGTGGAGGAAATAGCCAATAAAACAAGGACTTTTTAAAGACAYGGTTTATCTGGATTCCAGTGCTGGCAGACTTCCCTCAGGTTGAGATYTGAGCTTCCCCCTCGTGGTGGGAAGCACAGAGTGGAAGGCATCGCTGGCACATGGACACACTTCCCGTGCTGGGACACGTGCTGGATTACTGGGATTAACGTTTGTCTGAGGGAATGCCTCCCGGCTCACCGTCGTGGAAGGGCACATGCCGGAGCAGGCATCGTCTGGTGGCAGCACCCATGGTGCAGGAGGGTCCACCACCCCAACACACAGCCCCCCTGTGAGCACTGGGATCCAAGCTGAAGGACATTACCTTCAACTTGGGATATTCAGAAGGATATTACCTTCAGAAAGGTGTTACCTTTGCAAGTCTTCTTGTGGGGATTGCAATGGCTTTGCATACGCAACACTGGGCAAAAATCAGGGATTTTCAGGGGCAAAAGAAAAATCAAGCCTCATCTGAGTTTTGCCAACTTTATTCTGGGGTAAACGGAGAGGAAGAAAAGCTGCGGGGTCCTTGATGCTCCCGCGGTCGCGGCGTGCGGCTCCTCTCGGCCCCGGCGCTCGCTGGGCTCCGCAGCGCTGTCCCCGCGGCGAGGCGGGCGCTAGGGCGGGCCGCAGCCCCGCGCTGCGGG